GATATTGATTAATCATAATCATTCAATTATTCAATAAATTACCAGGGTGAGAATGAAGTTTAATTTGATTCACTTTAACAATTGTATCTCAAGAGAATATGTGATTAACCATAATTATTTAAATATTCAAATAAATTACTAGGGTGAGTATAAAGTTTAATTCGATTCACTCTAATGATTGTGTTACAAGATATTAATTAACTATAATCATTCAATCGTTTAATAAATTACCAAGATAAGTAAAAAGTTTAATTCCATTCACCTTAACAATTGTGTTTAAAGAGAATATGTAATTAACCATAATGATAATTCTAATGCAATAAACTTAACTGTGACTATATATTGTAATTACTGAATAGCAAGTTCTATAATAAAAATTTTTATTTCAAATTATAGTAAAAATTGACAATCTAATACTAACTCAACTGTAACCACATTAATAAATAATTCTGATGAAACTTATTAAAATTTAATTACATATTGTGTATATTGCAATAAATAATAAATTCTATAAAGAACTTTAACAATAATTTGATTAAACAAATAAGATAGATGATATGAAGCATCACTTATCAAACTAGTATTATATAATTTTATTAAAAAATGCATAATCATATAATATATATATGTCATCTATATAATTATATACAAATACAGAAATAAATATATATTTTTTAATTTTTTTTTAATATCATAAACATTTATCTGATTGGCTAATATAAATCAGTACTTTTTAAAAATATAACGTACTAATAAAAAATTACTACAAAGCTATTTCTAACTTTGAAAGATTACTACAAGAATAATTAGTAAACTTAAGAACTTTGCTTAGAAGTACTATTTACTGTAGTACTAATCATATTTACTATATGCAAGCTCTAAATGCTAGAAGCTGTTAACAAAAAAAGAAAAATTGAAATATTATATATAAAATCTAAAGAACATTGTCTATGCCACTTAACATATTATAACAAAAAGCTTATACTAACTGCTAATGCTTTTATTATATATATATATATTAGAGTTAAAATATTAGTAACAGGGTTGGGATCCCGCGGCCTAGTGGTCTAGGCACCTAACTAGGGATATTATAATCCGGCAAGAACCACATCTGAACCAGTCTTTTGAACCAGTTTAAGTGGTTCATGGTCTATAAATTGGGACCAGTCCAAATCGGTCTGTCTATAATAAATTTTGTGATTATATAATTTAATATACTGTATATACAATAGCATTTCTATTTTAAAGATCATTATCTTAAAGCAGAAAATAATAGCAGTAGTGAAGAGTTTCAATTTGCAGGAAGTACATAGATATTTATCAACCCAATTCTTTATTGTAATTAAGTGATAACAATTAATTTATAACAGATAACCTTTCGATATCATGTGAACAAGTTAATAGTATGTACATATGTTCTATACGATTAAGGCTAAATCAAACTTGTTCTCAAAGTTTATGTAATATTGCAATCATATTCTTTAGTTAAAATTGATTTACTGAAATTAGTTTTTGTATATAACTCTTAATTGCTAAAAACTGAATTAATACTAAAAACTTTACTGGCCCCTGACAACCCAAACAGGATAATTTCTATATTCGTTACTGTTTTACAATTATTTTTTTATTACAAGTAATAATAAAGATTATACATATTACAATTTAATTGCTAGAATAGAAATCTCAATATAAAATTAATTTTTTAGAGTAAATCATATTATATATATTTTTTATTTAAATTAAATTCACAAAATGAATATAAACGAAATTATAATCAACTATATTTTTTTAATAAAATAATAAAACTTACTATTATTTTGAATTTTATATTATTGTTTGGATATTATATTCATGACTCAAATTTCCAAAATTGAATTTCTCATTAAAGCAACTGGTTTAATTATGCTTCTTGTGATTGTTACTAATAAAATCTAAAAACGTTTTTGCCAAAAAAAAGGATCTATCATTCAATACAAGTTAATAACCAGAACCTTACAAATAGTAGCATATTAATTGATAAAGTTTTTTTTAAAACTATTGTGCATATACTAATAGGCCAATTTGAGTTAAATCATAATAACAAAGAGATCACTAAAAATAAAAAATGCCAAATAGGTTAATCATGTTAATTGTATTTGAAAAAAAAAGATCAATAATCTTGTAGGCTTAAAAAAATTTTTTAGATAATGTGAAAAGTAATAGATTGATTGTGGATAATATCTAAAATAAGAATAAATAAAAATTAATAACAATAAAACTAAACACTCAATAACAATAAAATATATAAAAAACGTATATATCTCATTTTTGTTTTTAATTTCTTATTAAAAAAAAAATGGCAGAACCCAATCTTTCTGAAAATTATACACCTTTTAGCCCTGAAAACATTAATAATCTTCTTGAAGATAGTACATTCAACACCAATAGTCAAGTATCTCAAGAAACCAACATTGTTGGTTTATCATTCCAAAGTAATTATAGGCCAAAAAGAACAAAGAGTTCAGCAATTTGGCCCTATTTTGATACCAAAACAACTGCTCATCCTGGAGTTTCTGTATGCCTAAAATGTAACCAAGTTTTTTCAATAGCTACTGGTGTTTCAACTTTAAAAAGACACCTTAATAAACATAAAATCGTAGCATCTGCACATCATCAAACTATTATTCATTTTCCTAAAACAGATCCATATAGTGATAACAAACAAAGAAAAAGAGACAAAAAATTAATTACCTGGATTATTGCTAATCAACAACCCTTTACTATTGTTAAGAATCAATATTTTAATGAATTTATTAGTTTTATTGATCCTCGGTATATAGTTCCAACCTGACAAGCCACAAAAGCAATAATCATTGATAAATTTGAGATTAGGCAAAGTAGAGTAGTTAATGATCTTGTAAGAATTTCAGGGAAAGTTTTTTTGACTGCTAATATGTGAACATCCCAAAATTTTGAGGCATTTTTAGGTGCTACTATCTATTATGTGGATTCTAATTGGAAAATGCATCATTTTCTTTTGGATATTATTCCTTTTAATAGCAGATATACAGATATAAATATAGCAGATACCATTAATAACCTTCTTTTTAATTTTAATAATAAATTCATGACGATTATTTGTGAAAAATTAATTGCAGAAGAATTGAAACAAAAATTTGATAGAATTGGGTTTTTGCACTATCATTGTGCAGCTTATGTGCTTAATCTGGCTGCTAAACAAGAGTTAAAAATGGTTTGTTCATTAGTAGAAAAAATCTGAAATCTAATATCAAAAATTAGAGTATCAACTCGTTTTTGTGATGATTTGTGTAGTCTATGCAAACTTAAAGGAATTCTATACTTTAAACCCAAGTTAGACATTGATACCAGATAGAACAGCACATATTATATGTTGCAAAAAATGAAAAAAATAGAAATGCCTCTTAAATTGCTTGCAGCAGACTATTCATTGATTAATTTATTATATCCGAATATTAATAAACAAAAAAATTTAAAAGTAAGTTAAAAAAGTAATTTAAATAAAAACAAATAAAATAAATAATAAACTAACAATAATTTTTAAGATGTATTTACTCTATTAGAACCAATTGAGACTGCAACAAAATTACTTTCAGTATCATCTTACCCAACCATAAGAGATACAGAATTTTTGACCTATTTCATTTTTTTAACCAATCAAATCTATCTAAAATACCAATCAAATTTGTGTTTTAATCAAATTAGTATATTTTGATCTATTGTTAATAATTCGTTATCTAGTGGTTCAAATTTGATGAAATTGGTACTATTCGAATCCTCTTATAGAGAGGATTCAAATAGTACTAATTTTATCAAATTTGGACCACTAGATAACAAGTTATCAATGATAGATCAAAATATACTAATTTGATTAAAATACGAATTTGATTGGTATTTTAGATAGATTTGATTGGTTAAAAAAATGAAATAGGTCAAAAAATCCTGTATTTGTTTAGTTTTTTTAAGCATTCAAACCACTTAAATACCTATATTGAAAAAGAAGAATTTTCCCAGCATCTGGCTGCTACATCAATTCGTCAAAAAATTAAAGAATATTAGACTATAATAAACGATCCTTCTGTTGTATCTGCTGTTCTTAATCTCTGTGCTAAATTTAAAATATTTAGCAAAAAAGAAGCTATTAGTGCCAAGAAAATGGCCCAAGAAATTATGAGCCAATATATATTTGAACATCAACAAACTTTACCTGTCTCTAATAATGATAAAAAAAGTTCAATCAAAACCACTCGAAAGTTTTTTTGGAAGTAGTATAATAAATTCAAAACTGTAGAATCTTTGGCTCCTAACTATACTAATGAAAAATCAACTATTACTAATAAATTAGATCATTATATTGCAATAAAGACTATTGAAGAAGACACAATCCCATTGGAATGGTGAAAGGCAAATAAAAAAACTTATCTGATTCTCTCAAAAATAGTATCAGACTATCTGAGTATCCAAGCAACTAGTGTTGCTTATGAACAAGTATTCTCTGTAGCTTGTAATACTATTTCCAGAACCTGAAATCATCTTCACTCTAAAATAGCGAGTGCATGTCTTTGTATTAAAAGTTGGATCAGTAATAGAATACTTTACAGAAACTAGCTATTTTTTTTTAATAGAGTTAAGATCATCTTAACGATATTAATACAATTATTAAAATTGTATCTTATTTGATGATCTGCCACTTACCAGAACAAAATGATCTACATTTATTAAGTAAATATGATACAAATTAATTAATAAAAATCCTAATTTGTGAATGTAAAAATTTTTATATAATACGTACCAGTACGTACGTACATACATACATTTTACACATACGATTTTGATTCTAAACTCATTTGCAATTTACCTACTATTTTGAAACTTCGTTTGCTAGTTTAGAACCCACCTGCTAATTAAGAAGCAGAGCACACCCACTACACTTGCTAGTTAAGACCCGTCTTAAATACCTGTTAATTAAGACTAATTTAACTTTACTTTAAAGCCCATAATTTAGAGCCCACTTGACCCAACTCATCTTTTAGTTTAGATTTCGCAATCTTGTACAAATAACCTGCTAGTTTAGTTCTCAGATCCCACACAACAACCTGCAGTTTAGATCCTACACTACTTGCTAGTTTAAATCTATTTATTAAATATATATAAATCAAATAAAAAAAAATAAAGTTTTGTTAATTTAAACTATTCTATAGCGAAGAATTACTTTCTTATATTACTCATATTTTTTTGTGTGTTCATACCCTTATATTATGAAACTTTTAGATTAATTATTTGGTCAAATGCCTTATACGAATTAAAAAACCAATATACCTATATTCGCTTTTTATAAACTTGTTTTAGTTTTATATTTAGATATTACTATATAGACTAGTACATGTTTCTATTACTGTATTATAAATTTTTTTTATTTCATATATATTTAATTAATAAAGTTGAAATTCGACTAATTATACTTCATTAAAGTCTAAAGTTAAAAGGTAGGAGGTAGAGACTCTCAAATGCTAACCTTTTTACAGTATCCAAACACTAATCAAATAATAAAAAATAAGTATACAACAAAGTTTATCTCTCTCTAGTAAGCATTAATTGGTAGAATTAAAATTATTAAATTGAGTTTCCAAATTAAAAAACATATATACTTACTACTGCCATACCGGTATATAAGACCCGGGTCTCTTATATTATACCAATTTTAAAGCCTATAATAGACCCAGGTCTAGTATACAGCCGAGGGTTCACATCACTAAGAGGAAAACTTTGAAGATACTGTATTGAAAAAACTATATTTAATTAATATGAGCCTGTGATTCACATACGTAGTAGGTCTACTATTATGTATACAGCGATTTATAGTAATACTCTTCAAATCGCTACATTCACATTAATCGTTTCATTAGCTATATTATAAAGATAATTTATTAATTGATAGTGTTAAAGTTAGCAAACAAAATACTTATTTTACATA